ACTCCATGAGTTTTAATTCGTCCTAATGTCCATAGTTCCAAAGAGTGGTCGACCATTTCTGTCGCAGACAAGGAGAACCTAAAGAGACAGACTGTAGAGGCGAGTGAGTTCTGGTGAGTGAAACCACTGTGACATTTATTTCACATCTGTCATTTTGGCCTCAGCACTTTATTGAACCGTGAAATTCATGTGGCCATCACCTGCGAGTCAAAAGTTCCATTCATTTAACACCTGAAATCAACCACCATCAGCTGTTACAAGCTTCCTCCGTCATGTTCCCGTCCAGGATGTCTTTTGATGAATTCAAGAGGAACTTCACGAAGCTGGAGATGTGTAACCTGACCCCCGACGCGCTGCAGGGTGACGAAAGAAACAGCTGGACTGTGTCGATCAATGAGGGCCGCTGGGTGAGAGGCAGCTCTGCTGGCGGCTGCAGGAACTTTCCAGGTAAACCTCGGCCTTTAAAAGCCTCAGTAAATCAGTAAATCTCAACCTCTTTAAGTCGTATTGTTTGTGTTTTCTCTTGATTTACTCTCTGTGTTTTCCAGACACATATTGGACAAACCCTCAGTATCGGCTGCAGCTTTATGAGGAGGACGACGACCCAGAGGACGGAAAGGTGGCCTGCACTCTCGTCGTGGCTCTGATGCAGAAAGGTCGACGGATGCAGCGCCATCAAGGGGCCAAATTCCTCACCATCGGGTTTTCCATCTACGAGGTACTGATCTCCAGACCTCAAACACCTCAGTGATCTGGTATCAACACACCATGTGCATTCACTGGAATTCAACTTGTAACTTCCTCTGTGTCTCTGTAGGTACCAAAGGAGGTATGCCCATCATGGAGAAGGACGTTATTGTGATGAAGTCAGTGGTTTCTCTGTATTGACCTGTATCATGTACATGTAGTAATATCATTGGTCAAGCTTTACTAAAACCTCCAGGTAATTCTTACAACAGAAGCCCACAATTTACCATTTAAAAAGTTTAGCCTACAAAGTGTTAAAATAGTCCAAATGAAAATGACCAGACCACAGTACAACATCTTTAAATTGTTTAGTTTTGTTGGACTGAACAACTTAAACTCAAGAGATATTTACTTAATAACGATAGAAACAAGAGACATGCACAAATCTATCACATTTTATAAACCAGAACTTGCTAATTTTGCTCAAATAACAGTGAAATGATTTTTAAAATAGTTTTTTTACTGCAAATGTCTGATATCCCTTAATTGTACTTCATAGTAATAATAATAACTTTTATTAATAGACATAATGGCCCTTTGGGAAAGTAGAGTACCTGATGCCTGTTTAATTCAAATTCTTAAATTTTACTACTTATCTTTCCTTAGAGCCCATCCCCCTTTTTCTCTCACCGTTTCCAGACTCTCACTGCTTTTTTCCCATCCCCAGATGTGTGGTCAGAATCAGCATCTGCAGAAGGACTTCTTCCTGTACACAGCCTCCACGGCCAAATGCAAGACCTACATCAATCTGCGGGAGGTAACAGAGCGTTTCCGTCTGCCGCCAGGAGAGTACGTCGTCATCCCCACGACCTTTGAACCCCATCAAGAGGGCGAGTTTATCCTCAGGGTCTTCTCTGAGAAGCAGAGCACGTCCGAGTAAGGATCGCTGAGGGTGGGCCGCTGTGGATATTTGATGCTGCAGCTGATGTTATTTTGGGGGATTGTTGACAGTAAAACTGCAAAATATAGCAAAGCATTTAAATGAGAGTCATTATCGGAGCATAGTAAGAAACCTAACGTGTCTGTTTCTCCTCACAGGGAGGCGGAGAGCACGATCGAGTCTGGAAAAATCCAGGTTTGCAACATGATTAGAGAAGAATATACTTTAATGATTGTGAACAATACTGCAGCTCATGAAAAGGGAAATAAATCCCCCCAAAAGTCAAGGTACTCTGGTTTGTCAAGGTAAAAACAAAAAGCAAAACCAATTGATATAAACACATTGGTTTTCTTTAAGGTCAATCAAATACTAATACCTGTAGTCAATAAATCAACACCATGTCATAGAAATATGTATGAAAAACAAAATATCAGATATAATTGTAATAAAAATGAGTAATACAGACAACATGTGTACTAACAGATCGTCTTTAAACCAACACCAATAGAAAACAAATCAGAATGTACAAGATGTATATCCCTTTAATCCCAAATGTTTCCTTCATATTCCATCAACCTTACTCTTGAAATCTCTGTCTTGTCTCAGTGCTCACTGTGTGTTTTCTCATTGTTTCCTCCCTGAGTTACTAACGCACCTCAGTACTCAAGTGTTTTCCTCCGTTTCATCTCATTTCATCTTTCTGTCCTTCCTTGTCTTATCGGCCATCAGCAAGAAAAGAAAAAGGTAAAGAGTGCATGTTAGTGGATTTTCTTTTTGAATCTGCTTCCTCGCTGCTTCTCTCCATTACGCGTCAGCTTTGTGCAACGTTATCAGTTATAGTTTGTGCCATCATTGAATATATAGATTATAACTATAAACTAACTTTTGTCTTTTCTCCTGTTTGTCTTTTTTTTACCCTTCACTCCTCTTGCCGACACGGCCATGACCCACTTGGCAGCCCATTGTGTTTGTGTCAGACAGAGCACATGCCAACAAAGAAATTGAGCATGACGGCATCCGGGGGGAAAAGAAGAAGAAACCAAAGGTAATCTCCTTGTTGTGGGAACAGAGAGTGTAAAGATAAAAACTCTACAGCCACACCGCAAATAGCTCAGTGTGACCTTTGCTCTGTCGTAATTTCCTGACCGATGGCTCTGTAATGAAATGTTGACCAGCTCATATAACCTCACTGGGAATAAAATAAATGTGTTTCAGGCCAAATTATCTCAAGTGACTCAGCACCTGTTTTCCCATGAGGCCTCAGTTGTTCAAATGATCTCCTTGTATACTGCCCTCTTTTGGTACTGTGTGGAAATGCATCCAATGGTATTCAATAAAAACCATGGATAAATAAAGAAACATGAAGTGATGGAAGAAAATGAGGCTATGAAATAATCCTGAGAGCTATTGAACTTCACTATTTCTGTATTTTCCAACCTTCAGAAGGTTTATTTTATTTCACTACTAACTGATACAAATTTCCACACAGTCTTGATTAGAGTTATTAACACCAGAAATAAATGATAAATTCCTCTTTAATCTGTTCTTCAGGGAAAACGTTTAGAACCCGAGGAGGAGACTGAGGAGGAAAAACAGTTCAGGGCCATTTACCAACAGATTTCTGGTGAGGTGAGTACCAGTGAGACTGTAGACGACACCGTCAGAACAGAGGTCTGAGTTTTATTTGAGATGAAACGCATCCTTCCTCCCTCGTCAGGACATGCAGATCTGTGCCAACGAACTCCAGACCATCATGAAGAACGTACTTGCGAAACGTGAGTGAGCTGAAAAGATAATCCTTGAGGTCTGAGTCATGTTGCAATCACTCATACCGAGTTCTCCTTTTCCACAGATAGTGAAATTAAGATGAAAGAAGGTTTCAGCCTTGAGACGTGTCGGAGTATGATCGCCTTGATGGATGTATCCGTTCAAGAAGTGTGTGTGTGTGTGTGTGTGTGTGGGTAACAACAGAGAGGCCTCATCCTGCCTGTGAAGATGGCTTCAACAGGTTGTTGGTTTGAATCCCTTTTGTAATCCCTGGTTTCCTGGTGGAGTTGCTGAAATTTTAATTAAATAACTCAGAGATTAAATACACAGTATATTCACTGCACAGAAATCCAACATGCACTTTTGAAAATGGCTCAATGAGCGATGCCACGTGTTTTTCATAACTGAACGTCTCTCAGACTGATGGGACCGGAAAACTGAACCTGCAGGAGTTCAAGCACCTGTGGAAAAAGATCAAGGAGTGGCAGGTAGGGTGTTTTCAGCCTGTTCTTAATTCTACAAGAGCCTCCAGGTTTTCTTCTGATTGTCAGCGTCTGTGTGTTTGCAGCTGATCTTCAAGCGTTACGATAAAGACAAATCCTGCTCCATCAGTAGTTTTGAGATGAGGAACTCTGTTCATGATGCAGGTGAGAAACACAACACAATGAACCACTTCAAGAATCTCTCTCTCTGTATACTTTAGATTTTCATCCATGTTTTTTCCAGCACTTTATTTGTATTATTAAATCATGGATTTCTGTTTCTCTCTGGATGAAGGGTTCCACCTCAACAAACAGCTTTATGACATCATAGCGATGCGTTACGCAGATCAGCACCTCAACATCGACTTCGACAGTTACATCTGCTGTTTTGTGAGACTAGAGGGAATGTTCAGTGAGTTTAATTTTTACAATGAGATATTGATTTTCACCAGGAAGCTTGTGTTCCACAAACATTTTCCACTCTTTATGAACCTTTGTAGTTTTCAAACATGAGTTCAATGTGTATGAAAAAAAGACAGTGATGAAGATTTGTCGATCTGTCTCTTGCAGGAGCTTTTAATGCCTTTGACAAAGACGGAGATGGAATAATTAAACTCAACGTCCTGGAGGTGCGGATCATTTTCAGTATTTTGCTCTAAAGCAGGACATCCTGATGTACTTCATTGTTTTAGTCCATGTTTAAAAACAATTGCATATGACTTTATTTAAATATTCTCACTCAGTATGTTTATTTTTAGTTATTAACCTCTTTATCCTTGTTGTTCTGTCTTCGCAGTGGCTCCAGCTGACCATGTATTCTTAAATCACCTTCCTGCCCCTGATGTTGCTGCCGACACTCAGTTCAAGTTTGACACAAACTTTGATTTAATTCTCTTTTCTTAAGTCTAATTGGACTAAGTGTATTTTTTGCACAGTTACAACAAAGTCTTGATGTCAATCCATCCAAACAGTGATGCAAACAGAGTCTATTGATGTGAACAGAGACTGCAATGAACAATACGTAGCTGTAAGTGCTGAATACGAGCACTCACTGAATCAAGAATCTTCAGAGTTACTTAATGTTTTTTTTTTTTTTTTAATATACAGGAGGTGAATACTGTGAATGCTATTTGTCTTTTTATTGCTGTACACTTGCAGTATGGATTTTATTACAAGTGAAATACAAACCATAACATTAATACAGCACCGTTCAAGATAAACTATAAATCTATCAACTTATAATAACTTTCACTTCTTTCCTCGGTCACTCAGAAAGATGATGTGTTTAAATTGGAGGACAAGAGGGTTTCCTCCAAAAAAAGTAACAGACGATTTCCACATTTGATGCAAAATATTTTAATCACCAAACCTCCTTAATCACCAAACCTTAATTAATGATAAACTGATCCCAGGTTCTCACATGTGCAAAAGTCTGAGTCTAGAAGAAATGAAGGAAATGATCAGGGTTAGAAAAGAAAAAAGACAATCTCTGTTAATGATGAGAAATCTGCAGTAACTTCATATGTTAAGTACAGGTTGTTAAATATCAGCCTATAGATTTTAAAATATGGAGTTAATAACCTGCAGAGCTCCTTCATGAAACAGTGAACCAGCAGGTAAAGCGTTGTTTGTCGTTTTTATCTTCCACAAAATCTTCTAACTTCAGCAACATTTGATGGTGTCTGAACTCTGTCATGTATTCACAGTGACAACAAAATAAAAACAAGTTGATCCCAAAAAAGGTTAATGAATTATTTGGCTCTGTTTGACTCTCAGTCTCTTCATGCAACAGCTTCAGGTGATCAAATGGAGGTCAGACAGTTTTCAACAAGTGAACAGAAACTGTGTCCTTAACACAAACTCCTGAAACAACATGAGAACTGTGACTGATGACACTCCACTACACCTTGGCTCCGGTCAAGGCTTCACCTGACTGTCCTTGTCCACGTGGTTGCACATGTGATCAGGCAGCTTCTGCAAGAGGCAAAAGCAGTTTTAACGACTATATTCAAATACGGTGAGCGACAGTTAGAACACAGCAAAGAGCTCAGTACCTGTCGAACTGACTGTTGTGTGGAGAAGAACTTGTCACAGCCTCTCCAGCGACATTTGACCGTCTGCTGATTGGGGTTGGTGTGGTCGCCGACAAGATGACGCACAAGATGCTCCGCCACGCCGAAAATAAGAGAGCAGTTCTGCCACTGGACAAGAGACAAATGTTAAGACACGAATAGAAAGAGACACAAATGCGATGAATTAAATGTCTTTAAAAAGTATGATGATTGTTCTTCTACAAGGAAAACAATTATTTATAAAACTTGCCCTTTGACTAAAATCATCAACTTTTTCCTTTGAAATCCTCAAAATGGAAGCTGGATCTTTACCCAGCAGCGGTAGTTCTTCATCAAGTCGAGCTTCACTGCTTGAACGCTGCCATCGTAACAGCCTGTGTAGATCTGAGCGGGATCAAAGCAACGCAGATACAACAGATTTAAGCCACAGCATTGTTTGTAAAAATGAATCTCTCTTATGCACTTACCACGCTCTTATGAATGGTCATGCACATCACCATGTCACTGTGAACCCCGCACACCTGCAGGTGTTCATGGGACTAGGAGAAAGAAAACAATGGTAAAGCATTATAGACAGTTTGCTTCTCAAAACTCAAAGAAATTAAAATACACAAATCATTCCCATCAGTAATTAGTGGGTGTTCAGAGTCGTGAATACCTGTAGCTCGTAAACTCGGACCAGCCGATCCAGACAGGCCGTCACCATCACCTTCCCCAAGATGATGATTGACGTGACGGCGTGACCGTGACCCTTGTAGATACGAAGCAACTCACCCGTCTACAAGAGGCAACGGTGGACAAAAGTTATAGCGAGAGCACAAGAGTATAATATAAAGTAAAGACACAGAGATTCTCTTGCTTCAAATATTACTCTGGGGATTTTTTTCATACACTTACATGGATGTTGTGGGCGTGAACAGAGGTGTCAATGGAGCTGCTGAAGACCAGGTCGTTCACCACCTGAAAACAACAACGTGAGTCTAATTCATTTCTCCTGAAGTAAGAATTTCTCTGTCATTCTACTGATCACACGATCATCAACGAGAAATAGAGTAAAGGCTTTTTAAAATATTAAAGATACAGCATTTTGTTTGTGCATTTAAAAAAAAGAACGAGAATTTACAACCATCACATGAAGGTTTCACTTTAACGTTTGAGAATCTGCTGCAAATGTTCAAATATGAATTTTGAGGGCGACAATAAAGGAAGGAAATTCTCCACTTTTTAGTCTCATGTGGACAAAAGTCATTTAGGCTTCATCATTAAATTTCAGAGTCATCCCCTCACCTTCATACAGAGAACTGTTCCGGTGTGACCCTCCAGCGAGCGCAGCAGCAGGCCGCTCTTGGCGTCTCGTACGCTGATGGTGCTGTCGTAGGAGCCGACCAGCAGCACCCGGCGGGCGCCCTCCTGCGACGTGCCCAGACAGCTCACCCCTCGAGGGCCGTGGCATTCAAACACATCAAGCAGCTTCAGAAGCTAATGAGATGTCAAGTTGAAGAAGACATGAGGAAATTACTGTTTTCAGACATTTTTGTCTTGAGGTTCTGAGGTGAAACATTGTGTGTAGACTAGACTCTGGATTTCATTTGCACGATAGGAGCTTAAGTTGAAACCAATCAAATATGTTTTCTTTGTTCACTTTAATACTCCGATGTTAAATCAACCCAATTCACTCACCCTAAAATAGAAGCTAACGACTGATCCATTGGCGAGTCCAACATACAAAATGTCCCAGGCTAGGTGCAAACACAACACTCTGTCTGCTAAAGAGATCTGCTCCAGACACTTCTTTGACTAAAGGCGATGGGGGAGGAATTTAAAACGTTGATTAGGAGACAGTTTCTGAGCTTACAAACATGGATGTATAGTTTTATGTATGATGGTTAAAAACAGTAATTCAGCAATTTAAAGAGAACAAAGCAGCAACTACAGCTCATGTAACATCAACCACTGGAAGGATTCACTGTGTGAAAAAGACCGGGTCAGATGTTCTGCACCTTTATGCTGTAGCAGTGGATGGTCTGGTCACTTGATCCCGTGTAGAGACGAGCCGGCCACTTCGAGACAGACGCCACCAGCAGACAGTTGACTTTGTTTGTGTGACCCTCAAATCTGGCTATACACTCCCTGGTCTGGATGCACAGAGAAACGGGACAGTTGTTTCAAAGAGGGGGTTTTCTTAGGAATAAACCAAAGTTTGGGCAGTTTAAAAAAAGCACATGTCAGAAGATGATCTAACAGAACTGTTTGTCTCGGGCCCTGGACAACGCACCGTCAGACTGTAGGCTCGTGCTGTGTTGTCCCCTGAACATGTGTACAACACGTCCTCGTGGACTTGCATGCCGTGTACGGGGCCGGCGTGACTCAGAAACTCTCCCAGGGACGGCTCCCCATCCTCAACAGACTCTGAAGTATGAATGATTTTAATTTATTTAGCACCTTTTAATCTTCACATGGTTCATGTATTAAAAGAAGAGACATTAGTCACCTGCAGGAGATTTGGCAGCTTTCACTGGCAAAGAAACTGGAATTTTTCTGAAGGGTCAAGAGAAAAAGGTTGATCACATTTACATGACTGAAACTGCAGATCCCTGTAATGTCCCTGTGGCTCTATACCTGTCAACCTCCTTTTGCTGAAACGTCTGCGTGCTCCCAGAACTCAACTCCACACTCGCAGTCTGCTGAGGCGGCTGTGGGAGAGCGGAAACATCCGAGTCAGTCTCGGGTGAGTCCTCGTTGTCCGATTCATCAATGCTGATAACCACCGGGTCGGAGGGCTCCATCACTTTCACAGAGTTGTCGCTCTCGCTCCCATCGTCATTGACTAGCACTGCAGCAGATGCTTCCTCCTTCGTTAACCTTGTCGTCTCAACACAGTCCTTTGACGCCTCCCTTGATGCTTGCTCCTGCTGCAGATGTGTGTTCACTGACGTCGAGGCAGCAGCTGAGTGTGAGGGTCCGAGCAGCAGTGGGGGGCGAAGCTCAGAGGGAAATAAAGGCACAGGTTGGTTCAGAGGTATGTGAGGTGCATCGGTGCTGGAGGAGACAGCTGTGGCTTCTTCCTTTACTGACGTGGCCAGCGGAGCGAGGGGAGTTGGACGAGGATGGGAGATAAGAGCCGCTGAGGTTGAGGCAGACGGTAGCTGCTTCGAGGAAGCCAAGACGGCACTAGAGGAAGGAAGGGAAGAGCGTCTCGGTTGCAGGGGAGCAGCGGCGCCTGCTGATGAGGCGTTGGTTATCTTAGACGCTCCTGAGTAGCCCTCTGAAAAGATTGAGAAACTACTATTTGTCACCTGCTAAAACATTTTGAAAACAATTTCTATGCTGGACTAATCAGTACCTTGCATCCCCTGCAGGATCTCAATGCGTTTGGCTCTCAGAGTGTTGACCTCATCTGTAAACTAAAAACAGGAAACAAAGCATTTCATTCAAACCTATGAATGGACAACTGAAGGAAAATGACTAGATCTTTATTTGAAATATTTCCTTCACTAGAGCAGTTACCTGCTGTCTCAGTAACAGAAGTGTCTGGACCTCTGCGTAGGCCGCCTGCAGCACGTTTCGAGCCTGGACCAGAGAAATGTCCAGATCCTGCAGCGACTGGCTCAGCTCGTCCTCCCTCAGAGACACGGCCAACAGCTTGTTCATCGGATCCTGATCTGCAAGTGGACAGGCCGGAAATGGTTGGATTCTCATCTCTGTTTTAATCTTAATAAATTGGTGCTTGTGTAGACGTTATTTCATATTTGCTGTATTCTCATAGCCTATAATTTTGATTATTCTACTGCGAAGTGGAAATGACTGACACAAATCTTTAAATCTAGGTTATAATCACACATTATAATGCACTTATTTTTGGTATTAGTAATAACTGTACTAATGTTACAGCCGACTAAATGTCCTAATTACCTTTGTTTGAATTTGTTCTTTTCTTTTTTCCATTCGTCTCCTTGTTGTCAGAAATGTTCTCATCCTGTTAAAAAAAATAGAAAATAACTTAATTACAAACACTTTAGTGGGAAACTTTCTTCTGAACAACACTCACCATGTTGTGCTTCCTCTTGTTGGCACTACTCAAACCTCCATTCTCCACACTTGGCTTTGCTTTGACAGGAGCTGCTGTGGGACTGCTCCCCCCCTGACGTGCTGTGCCAGGTCCCTGCTTCAAAGACACTGACTGGACGTCCCTGTGGGAATCGCTACCTGTCGTGTCCTGCGGTGGCGGCGGGACAGTCAAGGGTGTCACTGAAGGACTGTCTGGGATCGACTCCCAGTGGAAGCCTTCAGACAGAGGCAGGTCAGTGTCCGGTGGTTGTGTTGAGCTTTTGTTTTCAGGCGGAGGGTTCGACAACTCAATTCTTAACCTGTGAATAAAGTTGACCTGACTTTATTTGTATAGCACTTATCATACAAACAATGTAGGACAAATAAAAAAATTAAACAAGATCAATAACACAAAGCAAGACGATCTTAACTGAGGTTAAAAAAAAAGATAAAAGATAAAAAACTAAATGAGTAAAACCAGAGATTAGAAGTGAAAACAACTCAAAAAGTAAATATATATACACATAGCAAATAAAAGATGTTTACATGTGTTTTGATGGTGGCGCTCTCACCTGGGCGTTCTTGTGATGTTGACCTGCCTCTCTCTTTTCCTCTTGTTGTACATCTCACTCCAGCTCAGCTTGTACTTGGCCCCTGACGCATTGAGCAGCTTGTTCAGGGTCAATTTACGTCCAGCCTCCTTCCCCGCCTGAGTTTTTCTTGGTTGGTGGGCAATTCGAACCCTGCGGTTGCTGTGGTCCGTGGATGTGGCGTTGCCTGCACTTCCAGTAATTTTTTGTATAACTTTGACAGTGGTCTGTTTTGGCGTGGCGGGAGCAGTATTAGAAGGACGAACACCAGAAGGGGCCGCAGGTACAAAGGTGTTGACCTGTGGTTTTTGCACAGATGTACTTGCAGCACCTGAAGGTTTCCCTGTCTCGGTTTCAGTCTGTTGCGTGGTGCTGCTATCAGTGACCCGAACACTTGCCTCACTTCTCTGCCTCCTTGCTTCACGATCTGCTCTGCATGGCTCCCTCACACCCAGCGTTCTTCTGATTTGCCTCAACATCAAACTGATGTCAACCTCTCTATTCGGAGCTGCACCGGTGGATCTGTCAGCTGAAGCAGGATTAGAGGAACAATGTGAACTTTCTTGTACCGGCTGAGAAGATCCAGTACGCTCATTCAGGCTGTGATCAAAGATGGTGGCTCCATTATACTGCCTGCTGTAATAGTCATCATAGTAGCTGTCAGGCCATCTAGTTTGTTCCGGCATGTCAGTCCTGGCACCGTCATGGGTCTTGTGTGGTCTTCTAACGGATCTCTCTGTTTGTGAGTGCTCCACATCGACGTTGATGTGCTGGTAACTCGACTGTGGGATCTTTTCTCTGACATGATCGTGATGCCGAGGTCTACCAGCAGGTTGTCCTGAAGTACCTTCCAGTCTTCTACTTTCATTCTGCGGAGTCGCTTCTCTTCTGTAAAGAGGTCTTTGCACACTCGACACTTTGTTCTCCTTGTTTTGAAAAACAACAATGCTTCTACCTTTCTGGAGCGTTCGCTGCATCTGCTGCTGTGTCCTTTGGTTCACTTGTTTGGATATTTGCATCTTCACTACATTGGTGGATCCCTGCACCTTCTTTGCACCTTTCTCAGCCACTATCTGCTTCTGTTTCTTTTTCTTCCTTCCCTTTTGTTTCTTCCTGTGATGGAGAGAGTCATATTCATTGTTATGTGCCAGGCAGGAGCAATGTGTTTGTTATGTATTTTCTTTCCTCCTGTTTGTTTCCTCCTCCTCTCCTGGTTGAATCACCATGATCGGTCTCTACCTGTGACTGGTCATACTGCTCATTACTCTCTATCAGCATCCAGTATACTCAATAAAAGGACTGCTTGTGGAATTCCAGCTCTCTTATCCCCCATGCTGCCTGTCTGCTGTGCTGCATTGTCTTAATTTGCTGCTTGTTAATAGGTATGAAGAGGAAGGTATTAACACACCATGTTATTGGTTGGTGCCACTATTCCAAATCATTTAACATTTAGTTTTCTCTTTTGCACAGACTCCCTCAAATTTTCAGGATTGTCATGTTACTGTCTCCAGCTACTCACGCACCCATCCAGGGGCCGAAACACTCATTCAAATGTAACATATAATATTGTGATGACTCAATGACATATAGGTTTAATTCTTACCCCTCTCTCTCCAGTGTCTTGTTTCTGTCTAAGATCCGGCAGATGTCTTCATGGTTCAGAATCTTAACCAGAGGATGAGGCTTTACGTTTGTGGAGATCAAGCTCTGCAACTTTGCTTTATGTAGTGGAGTGGATATGTGCTGGGCGAATTCGTACAAACCCATGGAGTACAGTTCACACGCCTGGCATCCATGAAACACAGACCTGTTCCTTGAAGGACAGAAAATCAGAAATGATTTGTCAGATATAAGTAGATTTCAAAATCATATACTGTGCATGAAGTGTCAAGTGTTCGCAGATCTTACTATAACTAAGACCAAAATATCTCAAAGTCATTATGTGTGTTTTCCCCAATCCCTTGTAGAGAATATTTACCTCCCCCTTATTGCCATTTGAATGTTCTTGGACCAAGAAAAAACAAATACAATTTGGGGTCACAACAAAGGAGTGGATTTTGAAATGTGGTGCAGCTTGATTGGATTTGAGGGGACTGATGGCAGTGCCATTCTTGCTCATTCGTTAGAACGAAACTACTAAACCCATTTCCACTAAAACTGGGCCCAGTTCAGACCTGGTATTAATATCCACCCTGAGAGATCCAGGACCTCGGTGCATTAAAACACATCCTGAATGTGTCTCCTGTGACCACTTGTGATCGGACCTGACATCCCCCGCTCAAATAATCAAATTTGTCATTTTTGTTCACAAAGACCAAATGATGGTGTTTTCATCCAGTTTGAGTTACACATGTCCGAGGTGTTGGTGTGTCAGCGCGAGACAAAGAGGCATACGTTCTACTAAAAACTATTCTAGATCATAAAATGAACAAATGAAGATGTTTTCATTTGACGAATTGGACTCACCGGCCCAGCACCGACTCCAGCTCTCTGTGGTGCGGCATACCGTGCATGTGCTCATGTGCTTCCTGTGGAGAGGAGACACATGTCAGAGAATATAATGTGTGAAGGATCTGTGTGGTCAGTGAAAGAAATCGGAGTCAGTGCTGATTCACATGCAGACATCTCGGTGAAGTCACTCACAGGTCTTGAAAAGAACTTTCGACACAGAATACAGTGAGTGAGCTTCTCGCGCTGGTTTGGTTTTGGATTGTTCTTGCCCTTTCTCTTCACAGCCCCCTGAGGAGGGGGTTGAACCGCTGACATCGCTGTGAGGCAAGAAACACACGGACACGTGTAAACAGAGGTGTACGGAGCACGACAGACTGCGGCACGTGGAGTAAACACAGCAGCTGTCGTGGACTCTACTGTTGTCTGTTACTGTATAAACAAGAGATCACTGCAAACATCGAGTCTGAAGTAAACACAACAGCAGCACAACTCACCTGAGCTCAACGAGAGCGTAACAAGAGAGCAATTAGCAGCTGAGCTAATCGAGAGGCATTCTGGGTGATTTTCTTAACAAATTGAGAAATGTAAAGGTTGACGTTGTGAACACGTGACGTTTGACCATCGGGTAAATTTCACATGTCCACAGGAGACCGCCGCCTCTTCGGCCGCCATGTTTATTTTACGTCCGCGGAACGTTTGACGGCAGCGCTGGTTCTTCCGCAGAGTTACAGAACGCGGGACTCGTGGATTCAGCCGCGCGGATGTTTTACAGATCTGATCGTCAGCAGGGCGCGTCAATGCGGAAGTAGAGGGTTTACGCTGTCTCCGCTGCCACAGTGTGGGTTCGTTTGTTTACGTTGGAAATAAAGTGAGATTGAAGATGTGTAACGGCTGCGTGCATAAAGAATACCCGGACAGGGTGAGTTGTGGCCCCCGCTGCTTGTTTGCACGGACACACGTGGACTGACCGGTGGTCGTGCAACTTCACAACATCACGAGTGACGTTACTTTAGCTCCTGAGGCTGCGAGGAGGATTTAACTTCCAACTGCACGACTTAACACGGGTTTTTAGTTTAGGTCAACATGTGACTTTAAGTGCATTTCTTCAATTCTCCTCTTCTTTGCAGATTATTTATTGACGTGTGACTCTGTTAATCTAGAGAGAGAGAGAGAGAGAAGGGGAGAGGATAGATAGAGGGAAGATGGATGGAGAGATAGAGATCATAGATAGATAGATTGAGAGGAAGAGGGGATTGATAGAGAGAGGCTAGATGCATAGATAGATAGAGAGGGTAGATGGATGGATAGATAGATATCTACCCTGTCTATATCTAAATTACAGTTTAACTTTTAACTTTATTACAGATATTTTAAGAAACCAAATATATTCAGATACATATAAAGTAATTTAATGTAAACATGAAAATCCATCTTTTCAGCATTTAGTAAAATAAACGTTTTCATATGAGCAAACAAATTGGCAATCCTGATTTGTGTGTGAAAGGCTCACAACAGCCGAACCAACACATCGTTTGAGCTCTGCTACTTTTTATTAGGGTGGAAACACTTATCGACAGTGTTGTGAGGAACACACAGATAACATGATACAGCAGTTCTGCAGCGAATCCAACTTCCATGATTATCATTGTGTTCACTTTGTGTTGAAACTTTTGAAACAGGCCTTTCTGTTATGTTTGCTTCAAACTGAAACACGCATGATTTCCTGCTCAGGGGAACACCTGTCTGGAGAATGGCTCCTACCTGATGAACTACCTGTGCTGTGCCAGCTGCCATCAGAGGGACTTTGTGCTGATCAGTAATAAAACCACAGAGGATGACGATGGAGAGGAGATCGTCACTTATGACCGTTAGTCTCTGTTCTTCTTCCCCAGCTAAAAGACCATATAGAACTTGATTTAAATCCAAAGTGATGCGATTTGATCATAACTCACCAGATTGATATCATGTCTCCACCATCACAGCATCTTTCAAATATGTCTGACGTCTGTTCATTTGTGCTTCCAGATGTTTGTAAAAACTGTGACCACGTCATCGCCAGACACGAATATACTTTCTCTGTTGTCGATGAATATCAGGTGAGTAATGTCGTCTGGTTTATAGAACACAACCAAACAGATTCTGATGGTAGATCCCTAATTTCAGACCTGTCATTGAACCTAAAACAACAGAATTTATGAGACTAAGGTCCGAATACTGTAAACGTGTGTGTAATGTAGAATCTTTTTCTCTGTATATCAAGTGTGTTTTGTGTTATGCAGGAGTACACTATGCTGTGTATGCTGTGTGGAAAGGCAGAGGACTCCATCAGTGTGTTGCCAGATGACCCCAGACAGTCCGCTCCGCTCTTCTAGACCAAACCTGCAGCTCGCCTCTTTAGACGTTTAGACGTTTTAGATCAACTAACACCGACTTGGACTCGCTGACGGCTCCTCGCCTCATGATTCCAAGTATTTTATCTTGCTATTCAAAATATAATGCATGTTCTTTACTAAATATTTTGTAACTGCTGTATTCTTATAGCTTTAGAACAGGAGATACAGCCTTTTATGACAAACAAATATTGTGTATGTTAGTGATTATGAATTGTAAATAAACTTTTTATTACATCATTAAGGCCCCTTTCTATTTTACTTCTCCATAACTCTAAATATCTGATGCTACAAAGTTAGAATGATAAAGTAATGTAAAGCCCCAGTGATAATAAAACTCAATCAGTTTTCATTCAGTTACTCCAGTTTTCATTAGAGTCAATGCAAAAAAGCCCCTAAGTGATTTTGAGTTTATCCCTCTTGAGCTTCAACGTCCAGAAGAGCTCTTTATGCCATTTACTGCTGCTAAACTGCTGGTTAGACATTGTCTTGCTTCTCATTTTAAACCTCAGTGACTAAAACAGATGGAGGAAACTTCCTTTTCACTCTGGTTTTGTGGCTCTCCCTGACCCCTGCAGCCCCACGCCCCTCCCACTACTTCTGTAGAAACTCATTCTAGATAACAGAAATACACATTAGCTGTTTCTGGAAATATATGCTCCTGTTGCAGTTTAAAAAGACTGGTTCCCACTGCTGAGTGCCACAAACCAAATTCCATTAATAACTAAATCCACATGTGTCAGCAAGAAATAATACTTTTTGAGATCTGGATGTCCTTTTTAAAAATTGGGATAAAAAATAAAATGCAACAATCACCAGACATGATGAAAATGTTCCTTTTTTAATCAGCTTTTGTCTCTTGTCGTGTCCATGAGAAATTAAATGCACATCGCCGTTGTTGGTCTACGTTATAACTTTGCATTTTGATCAGAAGCGGTTCCATAAAAATACAGACAATTTAACCGATTGTACAAATGAACAAAACAAATCATTTGCCATGATGCTCATGCACTTTTACAATACTTAAGTATGTGTGCACTTACATTTACATTCTATTATGCCAATGTCTTCTGCATGACAAATATTTTCTAGCAAAGTAAAAGCACACTACAACACTGTGATATGCCAGAATGAGCAAATTCATTGTTACATATTATAACTGATCAGTTTTACAGGAGTGAGGTCGATATGGGACTGCATGCCCTGATCATCTTCATGAATGCTGATCTCGTTACTATTAGTGCTCTTATAGTGAGTATACAGTTTCTATGAGGGTTTCTAATGGTACATATCTACAGTTAGCATTATTTTTACATCCCTCATATATTAAACATCTTTTTGGTCTCATATTAGGCCTATATGGAGTGTTCAGAGAGGAGAGGAGTGAAATGAGAGGTAAGAGTTGGCAATCTCAAGCTTTTCTTCACCTTTTTCTTTCAACTGCAGGTATCAAGCAACATCGTCAAGTATTTCAAGAGACACTACCAACAGAATGAATAAATAAATAAATACAATTTATCATACATTTTACATTAAATACAGTACATTCCTCTTGAGTAAATACTGTATTTACACATGCTCTCAGTGACCGGATGTGAGAAAGCCTCTCGCTACAGCTGCACGATCCATGATCAGTCTTTTTGAGTCAAACACAGTCATCGATTCACTTTCCCAGAACCTTTGGTCTCGAGGATCAGCCGCCTTCCCCTGGAGCTGTGGCCCCACTGAGGCTGCCCGCTGGACCCGTCTTGCAGGTGCCGAGGAGGTGGGGATCCAGACAAGCTGGAGGGAGAACGGCTGCGCCCCTGCAGTACTCCGCCCTCACGGGGTTCCTGGCGGGAGGGAGAGGAGCTTAGTGAGCGCTGCAGGGAGGAGGAGGAGCTGCGAGGGCGAGGAGGAGGGCTGAAGAGCATCCCGCTGCGGTCCTGCATCAGCTGGGTCAGGCTGGCGAGGAAGTCTGCGTCACTGGTGCTGCTGGCACGCACTCTTAACCTCCGTCTTCTGGAGACAAGAGCACAAGGCACTTTGATTATAAGGCTGTGAAATGATTCATCCGCCAAGCTCTTCTACAAGTAAGAGAAGAATCATGTTCCTGCTTCTGTAAATCAAACATTTCCTACTGCTGCTAAGCAGCAAGTGTATATATAGTATCAAGCATCGACTGTATATAAAGATGGATAAAGCATCTACACTACTTAAATAATGGGGATATAGGAGCTACCCCAGACTTTTTAGTTTCGATCCATGTCCTATCCACTAACATGGAAGAGGCAGGCTTCTAACCTATACTGCAGCCAGCCACCAGGGGGTGATTAACTATCAGCCATATACACCTTAGACGTTTCAGCAAGGAAACCAGATCCTATGACATATGTCTTTGTAAGAACTGAAGTTTGTTTGCTCTGTAAAATCTTCTGTTAAATGTGCTATATTTCGGACATATGCACGTTTATAATAGTGTTAAACTGCACTTGATATTACCACTTCTATGTGCCGCCAGATTTATCCTCCATCAAATAGAAAAGCAAATGTCCTTTTAAAAACTTCTGCTCAAAAATCTGTTGTAATTTAAAAGCACTTCGACGGTGCACAGCTCTCACCTGTTGTCCGTACACGGTCTGATGGGTGGTTTTCCAGGAGGCGGCCGAGGCAGGAATCTGCTTGTGAGCTGCTCGGGTATGAAGGTGGCGCTCACCGGACGTGGAATCTTACTTTTACTGCCTGATGAAGAGGACAGAGAGAGGGGGTCTTCTCCTCCACAGTCGGACCTCGAGGCTCGTTCTGACGAGAGCCTGTCTCTGAGCAGAGCGCAGGGCAGGTTGTCGCAGGACAGAGACGGAGAGGGTGAGTGGGTGGGGGAGCCGGGGACCGGGCTGCTCCAGCGATGACGCCTCTCCATGTTGAGGTCCCTGCTCGCAGAGTCCAGGGGGGCGCCGGGGTCTCGTACCGGGATCCGGCTCAGTTTTGGCGACAAGGGGGAGTCTCTTCGCCTGAACAAAGCTGGGGGTGGTGAGGAGGAGACTGTGACGGTGCTCTCCATAGCGCCCCCTATAGTGTCAGCTTGCTGCTGCTGATTGGGCTCTGAGGAGCGATCGGGCAGACCAGAGTCACTCTCTGGGTCTCTGTCGTTGGTCAGATGAGCTGCGGGGCCTTTGGCTGGACTTGGCACTGGAGCTAACTCCAACCTCCCTCCATCCTTTAAAATTTCCTCTGGGAGTCTGTCGGATTTACTGGATGGAGCCTCCATTGGTATTGCATCCCTCCTCTCCTGTACAGGTGACTGGGGCCCACAGCTGGAGGACTGAGAAGAGTCTGATTTAAGGGTTGCTGAAGAAAGTATAATGTGATATTACCTCTAACAGGGATATAAAGAACTTCACATAGTTTTTTTGAAATGTTTCTAGTTTCTAAAACTTTGTAAAACAAGAATTTGATTGAATAAATTCCTCTGGTTATATAGACGAGGAAAAACGTCAGATTGATAAATCAAATTTTGTCAAAAATATTTATTTTATTTGCTCAGTCCTACCTGGTCCATCTGTCTTCCCATGATGACTGTGGGCATTTGTCCCAGCATGCCTGGCAGCCTCCTGTGGCCCAGTAACCATGTGCCAGGCATGGCCATCTGAGACAGGACGGGACTGGTCGGCACTGCAGCGGACTGGCCATCCTGGTTCTTAGTCTCGACTGGCTTGTCCTCATGCGGGGCTTCTGCTGAAGGTCTGCTTCCAGTGCCTTGCTCCAGCTCCAGCATCACCCACTCTTGAGAGTCTCCCTCTTGGGGCACAGGACTGAGGTTCACGGCCACAAAGCCACTGCTCGCTGCGCCCTCCTCTGGGTCAGGGGTCGCTGTGCCAGAGTGTTCCTCGTTGCAGGAAGGCGTCTGCGGCCCGTGTGCCCGCTCAGGGATAGATTTCTCTCCAACTTGAGAAAGGGTTGGACGCTGTTTGCCGAGGCTGAAAGAAGACATTAGAGGCATTATTGGGAGATTCTGTCTCATTTGTCTATATTGTTGTAATTCAATGTGTCTCGAGTACTAACTAGGCCTCGAGGAAGCGTTCAATGGTGGGCTTGGGTTCGGGTGCGAGCCTCTTTTCGAACGCCAAGCTCTGACTGTGTCTTATCCTCCGTAGAAGCGGTGCCGCTCTATCCAGGAACATGGTTTCTGATCGCACCCGTCGAGGAGAACTCTGTACAGAGCCAGTGTTGGGACTCTGGTTCCCTTGGTTCTGACTGTGTTCGTCTTCACTCACCACCTGAGGAAAATGCATGAAGGCACAAAAACTACTAAGATAGGTGACAGTGGATAAGCAGCTCATACTATTCAAGGACAAAGATGAATGGGATCTTAGCTATTATCACATCGCTATCCAAGGTGAAAAGAGCCTTATATTTAGATTTATATTGCCCTGACCTTCCTGATGATCTGCTGGGCATGTTTATGGTTTCGGTTCCGGTCCATCTCTTCCCATACGTCTCCACCAGGAGTAGTCGGTGTGGGGATGGGGGGACAGTTGTCAGCGTCACTGAGGCGTTCCCCTTGTAGGACATCCTCTGTGTTCTCCCGCTGCAGCTCGCCTGGCAGCACTGAGGCATTGGCCATGCTGTGGAGGAGAGAGAAGGTCACCCTGCTCGTTTTCACAGCACAATATAGAGCAATGATTTCTCTGGGATCTCTGACTGTGCAGATTTCTGTTCTAAAAATAGCTGCAGACATATATTAAAAACACATCCTGTGTGAAGTTAATAAATGTGAAGTTAATAAATAGAATGCGATCGAAAACAATACAGTGAATAGTTTTCATTAGCTGTAAGTACCCCATGTACGCTGGCGTTAGACGGGTGAGCTGCTGAGCAGTGGTTGCTGTGGCATTGATGGTCAGCATATCCTCCGAATCACATTTCTCCCAGTCGTAAGGGTCATTCTCCAGCACGTTGTGGCTCTTCATAGCGTTGTCAAAAATTGATGTGAGAAGCTGTCGCAGACAAAAAACGAAAAACAGGGCTCAGCATTTGATGGCTGGAGAGGAATATGCAACACACACCAAAATTTGCTTACTTGATAGTCTGGCTTAGTGAAATAGTCCAAAGTCAAGATATGCTCCAGGAAAGCACTGAACTCTGAGGGAAGGTGCTTAAGCATGAGTTGATGGTCGTAGGTCTCTTTAAGATTTCCTACTTGTTCCTAAAAGCAGAGGGAAAGTCAAATATTCTGTTTATACATGTTCACATGCTGTGAATGTAATATAGAGCATTTAGCATCATAGAGACACATACTTTGTCTTTGATTTTCCTCCATGGAAGTTGACCGACCATGAATTCAACCAGCATGTAGAAGAGGGACCACAGGTCGTCATGGCGACCCATTTCCTGCAGATTCGGACACACGAGCGTAAAGCAGTGAGTAAATTCGAATTGAATGAAAAACCAGACTGCTGTAAGATGTTGTTTGTGTTTTGTTTTGTGCTCACCTTATTCTTATGAGCATTAATCGATGCATAACGCACAGTTCCACGAAATCCTGCCACAGGACGAGGCTGAAAGATGAGGTAAAGTAAAAGAGAGTGAAACACCAATAACCCCTAGCTCCTATTTCAGTCACATACTTTCTATTTAAGCTACACAAAAATTGATATGAAATTTCCTGAGGATAAAACAATGCTTTCAGGAAGCTGGCACACGGTACTTACTGGACGGACTTCCTGGCTGGAGTTGGTGAACTGACGGGCCAAACCAAAGTCAAGCATGTAGCAGCATCTGCAGGTAGTGGCTAGTCTTCCCATAGCAAAGTTAGACTGGGCAGCAATAAACACAAACAAGTCAGCGACGTACAACGACAACACATTAACAAACCACCAAAGGTTTCAGGTCTACTCACTGGTTTAATGTCACGGTGCAAGAAGCCGACAGAATGGATGCTCTCGATGGCCTCTAAAATCTGCTTGCCAAGTCTCAAGGTTGTCGAGCTAGAAAAGGTGCCGCGGCTCATGGTTCTGCGTAGATCTGCCAGATTCCTCCCCTTTACACAGGAAATCAAGTGTTGCATGATGGGTCATATAGTATCAGACGTACAGTAAATAGAATACTACCAGCATTCACCGGAAAAAATCATACCTGAAGTTCCATCACCACATAGTTGAAGCGATCATTTCTGCCACAGCCAACAAAGCGACACACGTGGTCTTTGCCTATCAAGGAAATGCATATTTATATATACAT